GCCGAAATCGAGGAAAATCACTCGGATTGAAAAATCGCATCGTTGGAAATCTGCGTCCCGATTTCGAGGGATGTTTCCAGCGCCTCGTCCGCGCGCGCCAGCAGCTGCGTCTCGATTAGAAATCCGTTGTTCGCCCCTCCTACCTCTCCCCGCGCTCTCCCCTCCCTCCCCTCCCCTTCCTCCCCTCCCTCCTCGTCCCCCTTTCCTCTCCCCCCCTTCCCTCCCTCCCCCCCCCCTCCCTCCGCCCCCTTTACAATTACTCAATATGAATACTACTCTCCCTCTTCCCCTGATGGCGTGCTGGGCCCCCGCGTACTGTTTTTTTACACAGGATTCCCGGGAGTTGAGTTTTCGCCTGCGTTTTTTTTTCAAAATGCTGCTCTCGCTGAGGCGCCGGCCTTATTTCTGCTCCCGAATCGTTACGAATCGTGCTCCCGCTGCAGCGTGGGCCTCATTTTCGGATCGGTGTTTGGCCTCCGTCGTTCAGGATGGCGTTCTCGCCCCAGCGCGGGCCTCTTTCTCGCGCGCCCATCCGCCCGCCACCACCGCGCCGCACCACCACCACCACCACCACCACCACCACCCACCACCACCACCACCACCACCACCACAACCACGCACACACGCACGCACGCACGCACGCACGCGCACCACCACCCACCACCCACTACGCACGCGCGCGCGGAGCCACAGGTCCGCTACGACACGCGTCCGCGGATAGAGAAAATCAGCGCCATGGTAAGGGATGGGAGGGAGGGATAGGACGACAGATATGACGCGAGCGCACCTAGCTTGCCTCGCCCCCCTCCCCTCCCTCCCCCCCTCCTCCTCCCCCTTTCCTCTCCTGCCCCTCGCTCCTCGCTCGTCCTCCCTTCCTGTCCTGGCGTTTCCGCTGCGTTCCAGGATCACCCCACTCCTCCCCCCGATCCTTTTTCATTCCCGCGCCGACGCCGACGCGCCGCCGACGGCCCCCGCGCCGAGCGGGGGGTCCGGCGGACTTGCGCGCGCGCGGCGCGCGGGCGACCTGGAGACGAAGAGCAGTGGGTGGTGCAAGGACTGCCCTCCGCCTCTGCTGCGCAGTCGCTGGGAGGGAGGGGTGGAGGGAGGGAGAGATGCAGGAGAAGGAGGTTCAAGTTTGCCCATCCCAGGTCGGCCCGTGTAAATGTACTGGTTTACCTGACGACGTTTTGATTCGCACAACGGAAAGCGGAGCTAACATACTCATCGCTGATCTGCGAGGAAGAAGGGGGACAACGACAACAACAATCATGTTAAGACTGTTCGCTCCTATCTGCTCACGTGCTACTCAATACGTATATTCCAAACCCTCGGTGCCCGCCCTCGTCGTCTTCGATCGTACCCCTTGGGGGTATATCTTCCTTACCTGCTACGTGAATTTAGTTAGTGCAGCCCCTAAAACAAGGGATGAGAAGACGGGTGGAAGGGGGAGGGATAATAATGGAGCACGAGAGAAATTAGCAGGAGGGGGGCAAGGAGGAGAAAACAAGTGGTAGAACCAGACGGGCAGATCGGGTGGGCAGACCCAGAACGGGCAGGTCGGGGAGGCGGGCCCAGGCGACGAGGTCGAGCAGGCGGGTTCCTGAAGCGTGGGTCCTGCATGAAACGCGAGGAAGTCCCGAGCGATAGCGCTATTCCTAAGTAAATCGTGAGAAAAGCCAGCGTGGGACACGAAGGGCATAAAAGCCGAGGCCAAAGAGGGCAGCGACGGGGCCGTTGAGGGCAGTACCAGGGCCACGAAGGGCAGCGAGGGGGCCTCGAAGGGCGACAGCGGGGCCACGAAGGGCATGCATATGGGGCCACGACGGGCGCGAGTGAGCGGGGGCTACGAAGGACATTCGTATACGGGGCCACAGAGGGCGACAGCGGGGCCCCTGAGGGCAGCAAAGGGGCCACGAAGGGCAGGAAAAGGGCCACGAAGGGCAACATCGGGGCTACGAAGGGCATGCGTACGGGGCCACGACGGGCGCGTGCGAGCGGGGGCCACGAAGGGCAGCGAGGGGGCCACAAAGGGCAGCGACGGAGCCACTGAGGGCAGCAACGGGGCCACGAAGGGCAGTGAGCGAAAGCGACCGCGGAACCAGCACGGGCAGCGAGGGGCATCGAAGGCGGGCGAAGGGCAGCGACCGGCGACTGCAGTCATTAACGGGCTGGTCGGGCGGGCAGGCCCCGACGGGCGGGTCGAGCGGGCGGGTCGTTGAAGCGTGAGTCTTGCTTGAACCGCCAGGCAATATGTAGCGGGAGCGCGATTCCTGAGTGTCGAGGACCGGCATTTGAATAAATTCGAAGAAATATCAAGCGAAGCGGTTCGTTGGTAAGTTGCGAGGAAGTCCCAAGCAAGAGCGCGATTCTGGAATACATTGTCATAAGTATCCAGCGGGAGCCACGATTCGATGGTAAATTGCCAGGAAGTCCTAAGCAAGAGCGCAATTCTTCAATACATTGTGAGGAAGTATCAGGCGGGAGCCGTTGCTGTTGTTGCTGTTGTTGTAAACCGGGGGCCAACGACACAGTTTGAGCTTCAAGACCTTCTCTTATAAAAAGCAGGGTGCGAGCCCCAGGAGGGGCACTTCAATTGAAAAATACCATGTGCACCGGGCGGGGGGGATCAACAAAACTTATTCTTCAGAAGTGCGAGTTCAACAACAGCAACAATAATTGTTAAGACTGTTCGCTCTGATCTGCTCGAGTGCCCGTTAACGCGTATTTCCCAAACCCCCGATACCCGCCCCTTTAGTATTCGATCGTACCCTTTTGGGGGGTATACGTTTCTTCCCTGCAGGCCGGGCCCCAGCAAGTGGCGAAGCGGCCGCGGACCGTCGGCTTGGCCAGCGGCAGCGCCGATCGGCGGCAACCCGACCCCAACAGGGACGGACATGGGACCGACCACGACGACGACGACAACAACGACGACGACGACGACGTCGACGACGACGACGGCGACGACGACAACGACGACGACGACGAGCGAAAGCGCAAGCGAGA